AAGGAATATTAATAGAATTTCTATTTTAGTGAGTTATATTAACAAAAATATTAATAAACAGGGATTTAAAGAATTATATTAACTAGCCCTGATAAATTAATATGAATTTTAATGTATTAATAGACTTATTAATGTTGAACAATACTACTTGTTCCTAGAATAAACTCATCTGGTCTTAATTTTTTTTAATACTTGCAGTTTCAAATGTTTTGACACAATGACTAAGCAAATGACATGAAATTTATGTGAACCAGCTTGATGAAAGTATTTCAAAATGTATATGAAAACACTACACTGTACCCCATGTTTTCATTAATGTATACAGCTATCATTTAATAAAAAAAAAATACTTGCAGTTTCAGTTTGCTAATATTTTGTTTAGTACCTTTATGTCTCTATTTAAAGATAGCATTGACCTGTACTTTCTCAAGTTTGTATCAGGGTAATATAATCCTTATAGAATGTATTTTGAAGTTTTCATCTTTTTCTGTATTCTGGAAGAGTTTAAAGTAACATGGGAAGTAGAGCAAGCGGAATTCTTTTACATTGCTGATCTGAGTATAAATCGGTACAACCACTGTGGGAAGATGATTAGCACAATCTTCGAAAGCTGAATATAAATATGTAGCAATTCTATTCCCACCCAGCAAAAATGCATACATGTAATTCACCAAAAAACATGTGCAAGAACATTTATAGCAGCCCTATTCCTGATTGCCCCAAACCGGAAACTTCTGAATATCCATCGACAGTAGAATGGGTAAACCATGGTGTTTACATGATGGAATACTATTCAGTAATGAACTAATTTTTTTTCAGGGTAACAGATTTTATTTAGGAAGAACAAAGGGAAAGTTTAGAGCACTTCCAAAGAGAGTCTGAAGTGGGTCCCTCTCATCGAGGAGAAAAGGTGAGAGAGGACACACAAAGGCCTGCAGGGGTTTTAAATAGGCCATTTGAGATTGGCTACAAATCTTTCATTGGCCTCTCTGGGCCTCCAGACAGTATTGCCTTTTTCTACTGGTTGTTGATGGTCTCTTTCTATTGTTTATTGGTTACCTAGGTTACTTCATATCTGTATTCTTATGGGCCTTCCAGACTTTCTGGTTCAGTAGGCCAGGTTTTCCTCCCACCATGCTTGAAGCTCCTTTCTTTGTGTCCCTTCTCATTACCTACCCGCTGAGGAGATATGGTCCTGAAATCTTGAAGGGAAAATAGACTATGACTGTCTTAACAACTTCCTGGTGGCTTACCTATTAGGGACCCTCCTTAGGTTCCCTTCTCTAAAGGGGTTTGGAGGGGTTGGAAGTTTTTTGGCAACTTGGTCAAAAAGTTCAGTTACTGGTAGTATATGCTGGAATCCCTGCATCACTGTCAACTTAAGGTGGAACTGCTGGAGCCTGGAAGACACAAACTTATTAATGAGGCAGGGTCCAGGGTGGCACCTGTGGCTCAAAGGCAGGACACCAGCCACATATGCCAGAGGTGGTGGGTTCAAACCCAGTCCTGGCCAAAAACTGCAAAAAAAAAAAAAATAAATAAAATAAAAAAAATAAAAAGAGGCAGGGTCCAAACATTAAGAAAAGGATCATCATTATAGGCCCAATGAAAGGATATAGAAAGAAATGTTTCTTTAAATCAGATATTCTCAAGACAGGTGCATTTAGAAGAGTGTTTCAAGGTTTGGAAGGCTTTTTCTTGTCTTCTACTCCATGTTGGTTTTTTTGTTGTTGTTGTTTGTTTGTTTTTGCAGTTTTTGGCCGGGGCTGGGTTTGAACCCTCCACGTCCAGTGTATGGGGCTGATGCCCTACTCCTTTGAGCCACAGGTGCCACCTCCATGTTGGTTTTTCTACAACTTCCCCTATTAAAGCATCTTAGCAAACTGACCATACTGAGAAATCCATATTCAACAGTACCCTGCTATTTTCAGGAACTCCCTGAGGTTTTTTTTTTTTTTTTTCTGTAGAGGAGCTAGTGAGGGAACAAATTGTCTTGACTGTCTCATGTGAGAGCCTCCTCTCACCAGGGGAAAGAACAAAGCCCAAGTAACTTTAGGTTTGCACAATTGAGCCTTTTCCTTTGACATCTTAAATCCTTCTTCCTGGGCAGTGCCTGTGATTTAGTGATTAGGGCACCAGCCCCATATACCAAGGGTGGTGGGTTCAAACCCAGCCCCAGCCAAACTGCAACAAAACAATAGCCAGGCATTGTGGCAGGTGCCTGTAGTCCCAGCTACTTGGGAGGCTAAGGCGAGAGAATAACCTAAGCCCAAGAGTGGAGGTTGCTGTGAGCTGTCATGCTGTAGCACTCTACTGAGGACAACAAAGTGAGACTCTGTCTCTAAAATAAATAAATAAATAAATCCATGGGTGGCACCTGTGGCTCAGTGAGTAGGGCACCAGCCCTATGTACCAAGGGTGGTGGGTTCAAACCTAGCCCCAGCCAAAATGCAACAAAAAAATAGCCGGGCATTGTGGTGGGTGCCTGTAGTCCCAGCTTCTTGGGAGGCTGAGGCAAGAGAATCACATAAGCCCAAGAGCTAGAAGTTGCTGTGAGCTGTGATGCCACAGCACTCTACTGAGAGTGACAAAGCGAGACTCTGTCTCTACAAAAAAATAAAAAATAAATAAATCCTTCTTCCTTAAGGAGATTTAAAACCTGTCCAATCTCTTCAACAGAAGATTTATGTGAAGGGCTATATATTAGTTAATTGTGTACATATTGAATAAGGGTACTCAGCGGAGCCAAGTTCAACTCTCTGTGTGGAGAGCAGAATGTAGGACAGCAGGGCCCACACAGCGTGGGGAACATTCAGGGAATGAACCCCCAACTGCTTCTCCATTCCCAAAACAGCCATATTCCTTTCTTCATGCTCCCTCTGCCAGAAGTCACGTAGCTCTTTCTTTGTCTAGTTAACTACAGACCCTTGTGATCTTTGCCTTCATACTTCTTGTCCTATGTTAACAAAGTTGATAGAAACCACTAAGTCACATAGTTCTTCCTTTGTTTTGTCAACTATGCAGAGATCCTCGTGATCTTTCCCTTTTTACTACTTATGTTAATGAAGCTGAGTAGAAACCATTAACAAGAAGATTGATTTTATTAAAGTCATTTACATTTTCCAATTGTACTATAAGACCAAAATTATGTCTTTTGTTTATGCTATTTCCCCATATTGTCTATGCTACTTCCCCCTGGACTACTCTGTACAGATACTATAAAATAAAGCTGATTTTGTGCTTTGATGCTGGCTTCAGCCATCAGCTCAGTCAGTCCTCCCAGTCCCATCCTTGTCTCTGTCTTATGCCATATTTTCCTCATTCCCCACCAATTCTGCTCTGGCTCGCTCCCCTTCGCCACGCTGTGCTGGTTCACGACGTCTCTGAAAAGTTTACTCAGAGCATTCTGCAAAATTCTAGGACGGTCTTAGAATCC